ATGTTTGTCCGGTACATTTATAGAATGGTAGTTGCCAGGTTCGGAGTCACGTGCCTTTAAATTTTTCATTAGATATTACGTATTCTCCTCCCCAAAAATGTGTCGCCAATTTACAGTGCTTGCCAGCACGAATGAGAAGGCCTGTTCCTGCACCCCTGGGTTGATATTGTGAGCAAACTTGCACTCAGGTCTTGACTCCTCCTGGAAACCTTCCTTTATATCCATGTCTCACTCACACACGCCCTTCTCCTCATTCACTGGCTCCCCCCCAACACACCACTGTGCTGGGCCCCTGCCCTTGGGCCCACGTCTACCCCTAGGACACTTCCTAGGGGGTGTGACGATTATGCTCTTGGCCGTTCGAGGGAAGGGACTATCTGGTTAGTGCCCTCTTGACACCCTTTACCTTGTGCTTGGTACTCAGGAGGCCCTCATGAAATGTCAGGAGGTCTCAGCGAATGGTAGCTGATGTCCCCATAGGACTCGGACACTCATATCATATTTACAGTAGTTGAATTGCTTGTATCTAGAAGAATACTAGAGTTAGAGAATTTTTTTTTTTAAGCATTTCCTATTCTAGGCTCTAAACAAGTAGGAATGTTCTTCCTACCCAGTGTTTATCTGTAGAGTGGGTCGATTTTACTCCAGAATTCCTAGAAGGGATTCTACAAGAGTCTTCAGTCTTAGACAAATAGGGATTTTAGATCAGAGCATTTCATTCAACAAGGATTCACTGAAGCAGCATGGTGAAGGGGGAAGGGCATGGACGTGAGCCAGACGCCTTTAGCAAAGGCTGGGCCGACTCCTTCCCTTGAGGTGTCCACCCAGCGTGTGCAGGTCTGAAGAACCCAGGGAGCAGGGTGTGTCCCCTTTGTCCCCCAAGGAGCTTTTTAAGTGGATCATTGTAGACATTGGACATTTCCTTAAATTTCTCGATGTGTGAGAGGGAAGACAGACCCTCCTGCTTTTGAGGTGCTCCCAGGCTGGGGGAAGGAGACACAGGCAGACCTGCAGAAACTGAGTGACCGTGCAGAAGCAACACGGGCGGGGACTGGGTCCCACTGCGGGGAGCCCAGGGGAGGAACCAGCACCCCCTGGTGAGGAAAGTGAAGGCAGTGAGTGCACCTTCAGTGTGTTGATAATGTGGTTGTATGAAGAATTCGTACACTTCCCAGTTTGTAAACTGTCTTCTAAAACCCAGGTGACGGCCATTTTGTTGAAATACAATCTCAACCGAGTTGATTTCATTAATAGCTAAATTACCGGCTTTCTCGGCTTGCCCCGAGGTGCTTTCTCACACTCACAAAGCCCAAGGTTGACAGAGAAGGTGGCTTTGACAGCTTCTCTCTTAGGTGATTCTTTTTTTTTTTTTTTTTTTTGCCTACAAAGCGCAATGTCCTTTAAAAATTATTTTAAATCTTGAGGTGGAAATCTGTCAGTTCTCGAACCTAATGACGTGATGTTCTCCCCAAATCCACAAAAGCTAACCTAACAGTGTGACAGTCAGAACACAGGTCCCAGCAACTGTAGCAGAGAGAGTTCAGGGTCGCTCAACGAGGGGGACGTTAGTTCGCGCCAGCCTCCACGTGGGCAGGTGGACCGGGGTGGGGGCGGCTCGGTGCCGCAAGGTCATTCAGGACTCCGGCTGGTGGGCAGCTCTTCCCTCTTCACGTGACTGCCATCTCTGGGTCTACAACAGCTGTCCCCCAGCCATCAGTGAGGGAGAAAGATGCTTTGGACAGCAAGCAGCTTTCTTTAAAAAAAAGAAAGAGAGAGACAGAAAAAGAAAGGAAGAAAGAAGGAAGGAAGGAAGAGAAAAGAAAGAAAGAAAGAAAGAAAGAAAGAAAGAAAGAAAGAAAGAAAGAAAGAAAGAAAGAAAGAAAGAAAAAGAAAAAAGAAAGAAGAAAAAAAGGAAAAAAGAGAAAAAGAAAGAAAAGAAAGAAAGAAAAAGAAAAGAAAAAAGAAAGAAAGAAAAAAAGAAAGAAAAGCTGCTGTTGAAGTAGCGGTCATCGCTCTGCTCACAGCTCAGCCGCCACAAGCTGGTCGTGTGGCCACACCTGGCTGCCAGGAACGCAGTCCGACCTCATCTGGGGCTGGGCAGCCATGTGTCCGGGCCTCAGCAGAAGGACGGAGGAGTGGGTCCTGGAGTTCGGCGGCGGCCTGTGGCTGTCATACTGCCCGCCCTCAGGCCCCGCGGAGGCGCCCGGCGGAAGCCAGACTCGCAGAGTGTGCGTGCGTGCGGGCCCCCGGCCCAGCTGCTTCACCGGATTTCCCCTCATGTTCTCCAGCTCGTGCTGGAGAACATGCTTCCTCTGAGCCGTGCATCCCCTTCTCGCCCACACCCGCCGCACCCCTGCCCTGTTCTGCCAGGTCTCCCTGTCTTCAGCCCTGCGCGCCCTGAGCCATCCCTCTCTCAGCTTCCCGAATGACCACTCTGAACAGCACGTCGGAGCACATGCCTCTCTGCCTCCATGGCTCGGCGGCCCCCAGGCCCGGGCCCAGACGGCTCCCGGCGGCTTCCAGGGCCCGTGGTGATCTGGCCTGCTTTTCTCTCTCCAGCTTCGTTCCCCCACTGCCCAGCAAAACTAAATCTCCAGTGACTGGTCATGATCCGCCTCTCTGCACGTGCTTCCTCCCTTCCCTGCGGCCCAGGGCCTTCTCTGTCCTCTGGGTCTAGGGGTCCCCTTGTGCTGGGGCTCTTCCTGAGCGGCCCGCAGTGGCAGCTCACCGAGGGCAGGCACAGGACTGTCCACGCTGTGTCAGGAAGTGCTTTTCGAATGACCAGTAGGGCTGAGAAACAGTAGGTTGTAGTGCTCCCTGCCTTTTCCCCGAGTCTGTCTCTGATCCTTTGCATTCGCCCCCCAATAGCCAATTTGAGCAAGTCACCAGGTCTGAGCACAGTCAGCTCGAGCTCTGAGCCTCTGCTGTCCGTCTGGCAAGAGTCCAGGGCAGATACCACCTCCTCCAGGAAGTTCTCCTTGTCCTCTGCACCCCTGCCAGTGCGTAGGGCCTCTTTTGCCTTTTGACTTGGTTTCCTTTTTGCTTATGCCCTTATGGTATTGTAACATGTGTTATAATATAGATAACAGAGTCATTCCTCACACTTCTTCCCTCAACTAGTGAATTATATGCGGCTTCGAGACTAGCTGATTTTGGGGTGCTTGGGTGGCTCGGTCGGTTAAGCGTCTGACTCTGTTACCCAGAGCCCTGTTGGGCTCCACGCTCAGTGGGGGGTCCGCTTGACATTGTCTCTCTCCCTCTGCCCCCTCCCCACACTTGCTCTCTCTCTCTCCCTCTCAAAATAAATTAAATCTTAAAAAAAAAATTAGCTGATCTTGCTCTATCACCTATATCACTTAACACTGTCTTGTACGAAGACACCCTGTAGGTGTTGAGTTGAATTGTCTCAGCCTCCTAAAAACTATACAAAAATTAATCTTTAGAAATGGATATTCCTTCAGATGTCAGTAAAATGCAGCAGCGTCATGAGGGAATCATCAGATACTGTCGGAGCAGTATCTTTGTCTACTTATTTATCTATCAGTAAACTTTTTGAATGCTTCTGCTGTCGCCCCGTCCCAGCAGTGTGAGATGCCACAGGAAGCAAGACAGACCGGTCCCCACCCTCCTGGAGCTTAGGGCCCCTTCCTCACCACAGCACGGCATGGCCAGGCCGTGTAGCTCAAAGTGTACCAGGAGCTGGTAATCCTGCTGTGGGTTGTCATGAGCAATGGGTCGGTTCGTCTAGTGCAGGCCAGAGGTCCTCCCCACCTGGCCAGTGTGCAATGGGTCTCAGCCGCTGCCCTGAGAATTGGTGTAAAAAAAAAAAAAAAAAGCTGGGAGGGAGGAGTGAAGGAGTGGTCAGTTAGAGAAACTATTCACTTGATTTAAATTCTTTGTTTAGGCTTGTTATTAATCAAGTTATTTCCATGTTTAATGGAAATTCCAGGCATCACTGTATCAAAATACAAATTATCACTCCAGAAAACTCAGCAGGTTGCCATCAAATATTAGATGGTAGAACAAACAAGAATTTGTGGGAGCTGGGCAATAAAATTTTAAATTCCTGGTTTTTAAACCGTATAGTGTTTACCTCTAGGATTTGATTGTTGGCTTTTTAGTTTTTTTAAAAAAGAGCAAAATAAATAGCTTGCTGACTTTTAAATAAATGTCTTCAGCCAAGAGCCAGGGAACCCAGTCAATGTAGCTGCCTGCTGATTTCGGTTTGCTTGTTTTCTGTGTAAAATCACACAGGCTCCTCAGGGTGGAGATCTCAGCCTACTGCCTAAACCACCAAAAGGCTGCTTGGGACTGCCAGTTTGAACTAATTTATCATGAATAAATGTCAGAGCATCCATGTCATTGACTGTAGGTTGCCACGGTTCTCCGTCTAGAGCTGGTTATTGAGCCTGAGAGGGATGTGGGGTTTGGGGAACACAGGCCAGCTCCAGGACACGCACGGTGCACACACACACCTACGTCACCAGGCCCAGCACCCCGTCATTCTGTAACTTCCCCGTTTACAGTCACTTTGGCCTAGGACTTGCTTTCTGCTTCATTGCTTTACCTGAACTTGTGGACTTAGAAGAAGACTGGCCCTTTGCGGTTTTTGCAGGAATCATAGACAAGATCCCTGAGACAGCCTGGGATATGCCGGTCCGACAGGAGGCGAGCTGAGAGCCCCATGGTGACATAATCTCGTCCTGGCTGGCAAACTGCACACGTACAAGAAAGGCTGTTATTTCTCGTCCATTCCCTTAAAACGTGGTCATGCCGGGCCTCAGCATTCCTTCTTTCCTGGGTGGGCTCAGTACCTGTGAAATGTTGTTGCCTCTTTTTTTTTTCTTTTGCATGTTGCTGAAGTTCAGAACTTGGTGCAACCGAGTTTATCAGCCTACAGCCCCCTTGTCTCACACGCCAGTCAATTCGCAACACTCTCGAGTGAGCCACACACGTGTAATCTCAGAATGCATGTTCATTCTGTTTTTCTTTTAAGGAGCCCGACGACCGTACCAACTTTCTGGAATATTCTATGATACTACATCATGAGTGACAGTAAATGTGACAGTCAGTTTTACAGTGTACAGGTGGCAGACTCAACCTTCACGGTCCTCAAACGTTACCAGCAGTTGAAGCCAATTGGCTCTGGAGCCCAAGGAATTGTTTGGTAAGTAGGGTCTGTTTCAATAGCGTGGATTGAGTTTTTGTCGTAATAAAAACTAAATTGTCAGAACTTAGAAACACCGATGATTAAAAAAAAAAGAAAACTCTTTTCTTTGCAATAGGTTTTTGAACTAAATTGAGTCAACCTCTTGCTCTAGTTATATGTAGTCCTGTTGTAGGATACAAACCTAAATTCTTAGAATGCTGCATAAATGTAAATAGGTAGCAGCTTTTCTTTTTTTTTTTCTTTGTTTCTTTTTTTCTTTCTTTTTTTTTTTCTTTTCCATTCCCCCCTGTCATTAGATACTAGAGTAATAGGTATGACAGTGAGTTGTAACAAAAATTTGGAGTTTTATTCATTTCTTCATCCTGGCCACCTTTCCCCCTCCCCCTTTTACCCCCAATCACTCCTATTCATTTCTAGGCGCCGTCACTGCAGTGCCTTGCCCTTCGTTGGCAGGACGAGGCCAGTCAGTGTCATTATCACCCCATGGATTAACCAGGAAGGGATGCTGTGTGAGGGGTTGGGCTGGCCGTCTCTTCCTTGGTGTCTGACTTCAGCCATGTGTCCAGCCCGTCAGAACCGTTGGTCTGACCCTGAACCTTAGTCTCTTGCATGGTAAGACAGTCAGCTGCCGCGACATCACTGGCCAGCTAAAGGTAAAGTCTTTCACGTGTTTTCTAGACTACAGTTATCAGCACTTCCCAGACTTTTTCTCCCATAGTTTCCCGGGGCAAGACTTTTTTTTTTTTTTTTTTTCTTTTTCCTTTTTTCTTTCTTGGGTCAATAAAAACAAGATGGTCTCTGCCTCTGAAAGAAACTGTGATAAAGCAAAATACCCCGTGTTTACCAGTCGTAGGCAGAGGGGATTCAAAAGCAAGAGAGAACTCTTCTGGATGTTCTGGAATGGGAGCTTATGTTTTCAGTAGAGATTGTGAGTTTAGAGCCTCTGCACCGGTGGTTTGACGGGATCCTCGGTTTTAGAGACCTGCGATCAGGGAAGTCAGGTGTTTCCTTCAGCCTAGGCAGTTGGAGGCCCTGGGAGCTAAGAGGAGGTTACAATTCAGACCCTCGCAGAAAAACTAATGCAGGAGAAGGGGCTGTGTGGAAGGAATGCAGGCGTGTGTCTAAAATAATGGTGATCTCAATTTCCAAATAGCACGCTGTATCGGTACTTAAATCTAGGGTACCAAGAGAAGTTTGGATGGTCCAAATGAGGACACTTCAATACGTATAAAAAGTTCCAGACAATAAAACATTCTTTTGATTTGGAATTGGGCGGTCATTTGACACAGGTAATTTGGCAAGACTGTTACCAAGGACATTTAATGTAGTAACTGCAGTGAGTGGCTGACTGGAAGTTCATAAGTCATTGTAAAATGGAAGGTTTTATAAACGGTAGGCAGTTAAAATTAATGACTTCATTACAGCATGGCAAATAACAGTAAAATCACATGCTACCTGATAAAATACTATTCTACAGAGATTGGTTTTGACTTCCAGGTCGCATAAGCTCCTTTTCATCTTTATTTTTTAAAGAGGTGTTTAATAATGAAATTATTCATTATGGATGTGTATTTTTCATTAAAAAATTTTTAGTTTTGAAGCAAAAGTTCCTAGTATGCCATTATAAGCTAGACTTCCTCTTGGAAAAGCAGTGGCAGAACTATAGGATGGAAAATTCAGAATTAAAAATTTTTTTAAAAACTCAGAGTCCAGAAATAAACCCATACATTTATGGCCTGTTGATTTAGGAAAAGCATGCCAAGGTTATTCAACGGGGAAAGAACAGTCTCTTCAACAAATAGTGCTAGAACAACTGGATAGCCACATGCAGAAGGATGATGTTAGACCCTTACTTCACATCATGTAAAAAGTTACCTCAGAGTGGGTCATCGACCCAAATATAAGAGCTAAAAGCATAAAACTCTTAGAAGAAAACAGGGGAAGCTTCATGACTTTGGATTCTTAGAAATGGACACCAAAAGCATGAGCAACAAAATTAAAAATTGGACTCCATCAAAATTAAAAACTTTGGTGCATTAAAGGACACTGTCAGGAGAGTGAAAAAACAACCCACAAAATGGGGAGATGTATCCGCTAAGAGTCTAGTATCCAGAATGTATAAAGAACTCTTACAACTGTAAAAAAGACAACCCAATTTTTAATAAAAGAAGCAAAGGACTTGAACAGATGTTTCCCCAAAGAAGATATGTAAATAGGTGATAAGCCCATGGAAGGATGCTTATCATTCGCCATCAGGGAAATGAAAGTCAAAACCACAATGAGATACCACTTCATTCCCACTGGGATGCCCATGGTCAGCACAACAGGAGATAACTAATGTTGGCAAGGATGTGAAGAAGTTAGAACCTCATACATGGTGAGAATGTAAGATGGTGAGGCCACTTGTGGAAAACAGTTTCACGGTTCCTCCACGTAGAATTACCACGTGACCCAGGAAATACTCCTAGAATTAAAGACAGATGTTCAGAGACTTGTACACAGATGTTCGTAGCAGCAGTATTCGCAGTAGCCAAAAGGTAGAAACAGCCCAAATGTCCATCCGTGGATGAAAAGATGCACCAGTCGTGTTGGGTGCATACACGGGATGTTACTCACAGAAAGGAACGGAGCGCTGGGACACGGGACAACGTGGACGATCCTTAAGAACATGCTACGTGAGAGAAGCCAGACATTTACATGAAATATCGGAGTAGGTAAATCCATAGAGGCAGATTGGTGCAGATTGGTGGTTAACAGAGGCAAGGGGAGTGGGGAGCAACTGCTTAGTGGGTTTGGGGTTTCCCTTTGTGATGATGAAAATCTTTTGGAATGATCTAGATACAGAGGTGGTGACTGCACGACATTATGAATGTACCAAACACCACTGAATTTTTCACTTTCAAATGCTTAATTTTATGTGTATGTGAATCTCACCTCAAAAACTTGTTTTTTTAAAAAAAGAAAACTCGATAGTGCTTTAAACCAAGGATCTTTGTCATTCGTGATGGATATTTAACTCCTGATACTATAGTATCCTATATAATGACATTTTCATGCTGTATTATGTATAAAATACGTTGTCATTTTCTTGTAGTAGCTTAATTTATGTATTCACAGAATCTTAACAGTAATTTCACTTAACTCCTAATATTTTCCTTTACATGATTTTATGACAATTTTATTGATGTTTATAGGAGCAACTTTTATCTCACATGCAGAAAGGTAGGAAGAAAGCAGTATGTCGTGGCTAAAAATGTTTTTTTTAATATTTTATTTATTCGAGAGAGAGCACAAGCAGGGGGAGCAGCAAGGGGAGAGAGAGAAGCAGACTTCCCGCTGAGCAGGAAGCCCGATGTGGGGCTCGATCCCAGGACCTTGAGATCCTGAGATCTTGACCTGAGCCAAAGGCAGTCGCTTAACCAACTGAGCCACCCAGGCGCCTCTGTTGTGGCTAAAATTTTAACACCATTCTAAGCCTCATCTCTTTGATTCTAAGGAAAGATCAAAGACTGGGTTTCTGTTCTTTTCTGCTCAAGAAAAAAGTCATTACTTAGAACTGATTAAGCTTAATTATTTAATTAAAATTTAATGAGCCCATGCACAGCCAACAGTTTATTTCACCATCTTGGATGTCAGTATTCTCTTACCTTTATAACCCAGCCAGTTAATCATTACCAAATCAAAGCCTGTTAGCTGGGTTAACTTTACTGGAGGCATGGAAATGGGATTAGTTAACTTGGCTTAGATTATTGATGTTTTCTTTTAGAAATGTTTGTACAGGGGCGCCTGGGTGGCTCTGTTGGCTGAGCCACTGCCTTCGGCTCAGGTCGTGATCCTGGAGTCCCTGGATCGAGTCCCGCATCGGGCTCCCTGCTTGGCGGGGAGTCTGCTTCTCCCTCTAACCCTCCCCCCCTCTCATGGGCTCTCTCTCTCTCTCATTCTCTCTCTCTCAAATAAATAAAATCTTTAAAAAAAAAATGTTTGTACAATTACAAAAATCATGCTTAGACTTCTGGGATGTTTCATTTTTCAGCCTTTAGATGAAGTGGGTATTTACTTATTTATTTAGATGAAGTGCCATCCCAGGATTTCGGCCTACATGGTTTCTGTGATTACTCCATTACTGCTCTCTCCCAGAGCTGGTGCGACTTGCTGTCAGCCAGGTGCTCCTCACCTTCCTACCGGGCTTGAGGCTTCGGGGTCCCATTGAGCCGCAGCAGTGGTAACCCTCAAATTGAGAGGAGAGTACTTTTCCCGTGAGACTTCTCCCACATCTTCTGGGGACTTTTTCCTGGCTCTGTTTGCAAAGCATCTTGGATATTGGCATTTTGCTTTAAGGTCCTCAGAAGAAAAGTGGGTCTTACCCCATTCCATTGTTTGAATAGAGCAAGAAACTACTAATGATGCCAGACAGACCCCTTTCTTCCCATCAGTGACAGAAGGGCCCAAGTATCCCCACCATCAAGTCCTAACTTCTAGATAACCAGTTCTCTCCAGTGCTCCTTTCCCTGCAGACATTGCAGGTTCTTTCCCATGGCCATCACTTTTGTCCCCACTATATGTCCTGGTTGGATTGTCCTCAGAAATCCGCCAGTCTTTCAAGACACTATATCTTTCAAGACTGATCTCGTCTATGAAACGTCCCCAGGTAATCACAGCTCATGTTTAGAATAGAGCCTCCTGCGGTGCCCGGGTGGCTCAGTCGGTTAAGCGTCTGCCTTCAACTCAGGTCATGATCCCAGGGTCCTGGGATCAAGTCCCACATGGGGCTCCCTGCTCAGCAGGGAGTCTGCTTCTTCCTCTGCCTGCCACTCTCCCTGCTCATGCTCTCTCTCTCTCACTCACTCTCAAATAAATAAAATCTTTTTTAAAAATAGAATAGAGCCTTCTCTCTGATTGAACGAAATGCTTGATTGATGTGCATATGGGTGCAGATGCACACACACACACACTCTCCTTCCAGAACTGTAAGATAGTAAATCTGTGTTTTAAACTAGTAAATTTGTGGTAATTTCTTATAATAGCAATAGGAAACTAACGCAGGGGGCATGCATGTTTTTACATTTTGAGAAATAAAATATAGTAGCAAAAGTGTATGGTTTATAAAACTTGTTCATTGTCTGTTTAAACTAGAGCTTAATAAAGGGACCTAGTGCCTGGGGTGCAGGCAAGCAAGGTGCTGGTACTTACAGGATTAAATGGAAGAGCTGGGGTCAGAGTAAAATGTTCTGGCTCCTTAATTTTTAATTGTTTTTGCAACTGTGTCTGATTTGTTTCTATGTTTTTGCTGTTCATTAAAAATATTAGTAAAATAAATTAGGAAGTAAGTTTTAAAATGTTTATCACTTTGGATTATTCACAAGTATTTCATAAAATTAAATCATTGCAAGATTTCAAAGCTGTGGTGGGAATTGTGTGTACACACTTCTTTCATGTCTATTCAGATTTTTCTTTCTCCTTCTAAATTCTCAAGTTGTTCAGCCAAAGTATTGAAAATTGTTTTATGGATAGTTGTATGAAGTGTCTAACTTAAAAAAAAAAAGTGTTTAATATTGGATCTGGCAGTCCCTAGAAGTGACCGTTAACAACCTGAGCATGAAGTGGTTAGTCTAGCTCTTACTTCTTTTTCTCTCTCTAGTTCTGTGCACCCTCGAATGTCGGCCTGGTCTTACACCATTTTATTTTCTCTCTAGTGGTCTAAGTAAGTAAACATATGACGTGTATAACAACATTTCTGTGATGAAGGAGGTCTGTAGCATAAAGTGCAAGAAGGCTGTGATTCGGGGGGACTGAGTTCCAAGGCCGGCTGTGATCCACATCGCAGGAGTTCTCTGTGACCTTGGGCAAATCCTTGTGTCTTTGGGGGTCTTAACAGTTTCACCTCTAAAACGAATGGTTTAGAGCTTCTGGATTAAGGTGATGGATCAGATACATAACAGAGAACAGGAGGGCAGTAGTCCAGTGCAGGAGAGCTTTTAACAAGTTTCTCTAATGTAAAAAGTAATTGGAAACTGGATGCAGATAAACAGAGCAGAGAAGATGAGAATAAGTAGATGAGACATTTGCAACAAGGAAGAGAACCTATCTATAGTAAAACCCCAAAGAGGCTGTGGGTATAGAGATGACAAATACAGAAAATGAAGATGACACAAGTGGCTAGAAATAGGGGTGTTAATTATGAAACAGTTGTGCCAGTTGGCTCCTAGCATTCCCGCCCTCACCCATGTGCTCAGCATTTGCACCTAGAGCGCAAGTAGGTGAGTGAAGAATTACTAGGCCAGGATCCAGGGAAGAGCAGAAGCCTAGAGAGGGGAGCCCGGGATTTGGGGCTCTTTCCTCTGAGAACATTTGACAATTCTAGACTGGGCAGCTGAGAGATTGAGTAATACTTTGGATTGCCTTGGGGGACTAGCAGACAGGGATTGGAGCCCAGGGCCCTGTGGGGGGCCTGGTGAACGTCCTTCTCCTCGAGCTGGGGCCAATAAAGGACTGCATCCAAGAGGTGAGAATGAACCAGAAAGAAACAGACCCTTGCAGGCACTGCCACTCAGCCTCAGACCATCTCAAGTTGCTGAACTTGAACTGAATTGAACCCAGATTGCTAGTGCCTCCCCCCCACCACCACACCAGGTATCCAGCAGAAGTGCATTTAAATTCTCCCTAGAGGAAGACAGTGTCATACTGGATATCAGATTATTTCCAGATAGCAAGGAGTCTTGCAAGTGTGAGGTCCCATGCATAATCACAAATAATCAGTCACACAGGAGATAAGACGACATGCACACAACCCAACACAAACAGAAAAGAAACAGATGCACAGGGGAATTGGCATTCTTGGATCCAGACTTCTAAATAGCTCTGATGTTATATCCAGGATGGATGGGTTTGACGGCATATTAGATGTAACTGGAGAGAGATTTAGCAATCTGAAAGATGGGTCAGGAAAAAAATTCAGGATGAGGCCTGAAGAGACAAGTGTAGGAGAATACAGGAGAGAGGATGTATTAGTTTTCTACTGCTGCGTAACAAATTACCACAAACTTGGTGTTTTAAAAAAACAAAACAAAACACCCATTTATAATTCCATAGTTCTGTAGGTTAAAAATCTGCACAGCCTTGCCTGGGTTCTTGCTCAGCATCTCACAAAGCTGAGATCAAGATGTTGGCTGGGCTGCATTCTTATATGGAGGCTCTGGGAAAGAATGTGCTTCCAAGCAGTCGCAAGACCCAGTTCCTTGCAGCTGGAGGTCTGAGGTCCCCGTCCCTTGCTTTCTGTCAGCCAAGGGCCACTGAGCTCCGTGAGGCTTCCCACATTCCTTCTCACATGTCCCCCTCCATCTTAAAGGCAGCAGTGGCATGTCTACTCCTTCGCAGGATAAAAATCTCTCGGACTTTCTCCCCTTCCCACCAGCTGGAACAAACTCAGCTTCTGAAGGGCTTTTGTGATTAGATTAGCCCCCCAGCTCCTGTTTGTTAATGAGTATGCTTCACCCTCATGTAGGACACGGGGTCAGTATACATAAAAGTCAAATGCCTAGGGCGCCTGGGTGGTTCAGTCGTTAAGCGTCTGCCTTTGGCTCAGGTCATGATCCCAGGGTCCTGGGATCGAGTCCCACACCGGGCTCCCTGCTCTGCGGGAGGCCTGCTTCTCCCACTCCCGCTCCCCCTGCTTGTGTTCCTGCTCTCGCTATGTCTCTCTCTGTCAAAAAAATAAATAAAATCTTAAAAAAAAAAAAAAAGTCAAATGCCTAGAAATTGGTAGAACAAACCACTTTGAGAGTGCTTTGGCATTATCTGCTAAAATATGTGCAGTCCCACTCTTAGCTATCTACTCATCAGAAATGCATGCAGAGGGGACTCCAAGCCCTGTGTGAGAACATTTATGACTATGTTTTTTTGTAATCACTTGCAAACTGAAAACAACCAAAGTGTCTATCAACATTATGTCATATAGTCATGCAAAGGAATATTATAGCAATGACACAGAATGAATTATAGCTACACACAATGACAGATGAGTCTCACAAATGTGATGTTGAGCAAAAGAAGTCAGACACAGCTGATTTCAAAAACCAGGCAAAAATAAGCTATGCGGGCTGTGGGGAGGGAGCTTGAAAATTCATGTTTTGCTGGTAAAAGCAAGGAAGTGATTATCATAAGAGAAATAGTTATCGTCTTTGGGGGACTGGAGGGATAATGATTAGTAGGAGATGTTGGGGGTCTGGGGGGATGCTGACAAAACATGGCTCTTTGTGATTAATCATTGAGCTGAGGAACAGGAAGGGAAGTCAAGGAATGAATATCAGACAGGCGTTGCCTTCTCACCAATACTCAATGTTGGAAATCCATGGAGTTCTGAGAGAAAATTTAATTTGAAGTCAGAAGACAAACTATCAATCGAGGCTGAGGGCAGAATGAGATCATTTATCTTGCATGCACTTTTTCTGAGGAAATTCCTTGAGGATGTACTCCACCAAGAAAGAGAATTCAAGGACATGTACAACCAGAAGCATGGAGGCCAGTGAAGAGAAATCCCAGGGTAGTAGCTGTGCAGCAGGCCTTGAAAGGAACTCCAAGAAAAAATACCATCAAAAAGAATGGAATAGACTCCAGACAATAATGTGAGCAAGAATGCAGGAAGTGCTGGGGAGAGGCTGCAGAAAGGGGTATTTTTCTTCTCTTCAGAAGAAAAATGCTTATTAGAAACTTACGGTGGAAAAGCTAGAAAAGTCATGGTCTAAGCGTCAAACAGCTTTAAAAGGACATGATGTTTGAGCAATTGATGGAATGTAAGAAAGGAAAATCCATCTGACTTCGATGCTGGAAACAATCTCATTCTCTTGTGAGCAGCTACAAGGGTCATTGATCCTTAGAAAATGAAATGTCATCCCGGCTCCGCGATTAGGAACACTGACCTCTGTGCACATACGCACTCTCTGTGTCTTGGTTTTCAACGTTTAGACACGTCCGAAAGAAGAAACATGGAAGACTTAGCTGTAGGGACCACATAGATGTGTCCTCTAGGTTGCTCATTTGAGACAGAGTTTGGAGGAAGGGAAAATGAGTAGAGCGCTGGAGGCCAAAGAGATGGAATGTCACAGTCTTGTCTTACACGCTGGGAGTCCGGAGGTTCCCTGGAAAGTTGATGGAACAAGTTTAGGCACGTTGTTTAAAGTTACTAAGGTAACCAAGGGAAAAGTTTAAAATAACACGAGAGCAAAAAACTGGGAGGAGTTGGGGGTTTCAATAAAGTGACTAAATCTTCAGTTTTGGGGAGTAGATAGACAATTTCTGAAGTCGAGACATGAGGAAATAGTGATAGAAGTATATTCTTTGGAGTTGAGAAGGGACCACAAAAATTAAAACCAGAAATAACTGAAGGTGTTTGCTTCAAGGGTTGGAACTAGGAGTGGAAGCGTGTCCTGCTCAGAGGCTCAGAATTCAGTCCATTTAGCTCATTTTGGACAAAAACTTTTGAGATCAAAAAAGGTGTGTCTGTTTTCAAATTCTTAAGACTGAGAAATAAATGGAGGTACAAATACACGTGTGTATATTATTTGTTGCACAAATAGATTTATCTTTAACATTTTATAATGCATGTGACTGGTACATTTGCATATGGGTATGTGGATTTACATATGTGTATACATGTACACGTAATGTGACCTGAATTAAAGAGAAATAATTACAAAGTGACATGGGGTTTCTAGCCTTCAATCTAAAACAGATTGAATTAGATGAGGCTTGTTGGCAAAAAAAAAAAGAAAGAAAGAAAATTAATAGACGTGAATGAGTGGAAACAGTGTTACAAACAGAATAGAATAAATACATAGAAACAATATTTTAGATGGTGCTTGGGTTCTCAGGTGGTCTTTAGCAGCTTTTAACCTCTGGTGAGGAACCAAAGGGCAATATTAGTACCATTAGTACTGGTTTGTAAGAAATGCACAATCAGGTGACTCAGTTTGTCCTATTTTCTGGAGGAAAAAAGGGACAATGAATTTCAGTTGGGAACTTGAGATGGCAGAAACGCAGCCCCTGCAAGATTTTTCTTCTTACTATAGTAGTACAAGGAGTTATTTCTAGTCGAATTTTATATATAGCCATTGCTTACATTAGGGATTTTGTATCTTGGGGATTTACCATGAGCTGAGATCTTAGGCTTCTGTTTTACACTTTTTTAGATTCTTTTGTCTGGGAAAAACACAATCAGAGCTTGTATTTGTTGTATCCATTTCTCATGAGCTCAACCATTTCCTCCGTGGTGATATGCCAGATTATACTTATATTGTATTCTGTGATTTGTATTAAATTACTTGGTTCTGAACATAATAATCTCAACTCACGTAAGAAGAAGTCAGTGTGCATCCTAACTGCAGCTGCCGTGTTTGTGCCCCTGCGGTCAGTCCCTCCCACACCCTTAGCCAATTCAACCTGGCTCTTCATGTGTAGCAGTACCTCGTGGAAACAAGCAGAAAGACATTTCATTATTTGTTACTCATTTAAAAAGGGAATGCATTGAACGGACATTGTGCATTGCAGTCTTTTCCAGAATCATCCTAATGGGTCCCTTATTGTATTTCCTGATTATAGTGCTGCTTTTGATACAGTTCTTGGGATAAATGTTGCAGTCAAGAAACTAAGCCGTCCTTTTCAGAATCAAACTCATGCAAAGAGAGCTTACCGTGAACTCGTCCTCTTAAAATGTGTCAATCATAAAAATGTAAGTTATGTCTATGTTTCCTCTGCATAACGTGGTCCACGGTGTGGTCATCTTGTGGGTCTTTGGAAATAATTAAGTTCAGACCTCGGGTAAACTAGCTGTAACAGGAACTATTTAAGTGGTTCTATTTTCTTGACAAAATTCTTAATCAGCATTGGGGAAATTGAAGTCAGCAAGAAGCATCATGGTCCAGTCTAGGTCCGACAGCAATATCCATTAACCCTGTAATCATTTGATTTTCACCATGTCTGTTTCAAAAATGGCAACAGTATTGACCTAAGAAAATGAGAAACAACTAGATACTTTTTTAGAAAAACATTGTTCTATAAAGTAGCTTTTTACCTTGTACACACGGACATTTCATTTCTAAGTAAATGTGATATTCAAGATGGCTGTGCTTGGCATCTCACAGAAATCAAAGCACTGTGAATTTCAAGGAGAAATTGTATTTCTCCAGAAAATTTCTGGAGGCCCATTGTATGTCCGCTACTGGTCTCAGCATTATCGTGAGCACGATTTTGATAACCTTGCCATGTTATAAAAAATCATAAAATGTTATGTCTGAAAGGGGCTTTGGAGAGCACCCCTTGTGACCCCTTTTTTGTTGTGGGGGAGGAGTATTTAAGACTACACTCAACTCCACGTGGCTCCCTTTGTTTTAGCATTTATACTGGCTCTTTCTGGTGAAGGGACATTACATACAAAACTAAGATAGGTTTATTCTTTTGAGTCCATGGTTTGAGTTTGTTTTTAATTTCTCCAATGCATGCTTTATTTTACTTATACATTTAAATTTTTTTTCAGGTTACACAGAAGTATGGTTATTATTTTTTTTAATTCAAACAATACAAACAAGAAGGCAAAAATCATTGACTCCCTCAGATCATTATCATTAACATTTTGGGAGCATTCTTATATACATACATATATGAACACGATCAGCTATGTTATCATGCATCCTGCCTTCTCCCTCATGGAATGTTTCTGGACCTCAAATACATTTCATAGTACACATGCACAATAATTTATTTAACAGTCACCTGTTACTGGATATTTAGATTGCTTCCAGTTTTTGCTATTATAACCAGTGCTGCAACGAACATCCTTGTACATGCATCTTTGCCCACCTGTCCAGGTGAACTTCTTAGCCAAAGCATATACTACACACTCTGGCTTTAATATGTGCTGACAAATTGACCTCAAGAAAGACTGCCAATTTTACACTTTCATTAAGACTATCTGAGGAAAAAAAAAAGTATCTAAGAATGTGCTTTATTTCAGAATCCCCCAATACTCTGTACATATTGTTGATTTTTCTTGTTGTTGTACTTTGCCAATCTGAGAGATGACAAATGATATCTTATTCTTACTTGTGAGGTTCACTTCTTTCCATACTTCATTAGCCATTTATTTTTAAAGAATTTGTTTCCCATGGCCTTTGACCATTTTTCAATTGGGCTGTTGGTCTCTTTTATGCATTTATAGAGGATCTTTGTATATTAAAGCTATCAACCCTCACTTCTTTTCCATTTGACCTCATTTAGGTTGCTTTTGCCATTCTAGGTTGTGTGTGTGTGTGTGTGTGTGTGTGTGTGGTTTTATGGGGGTTGTTTTATTTTGTTTGTTTGGTTGGTTTGGTTTGGTTTTTTGGTTTTTTGGTTTTTTGGTCTTGGTTTGGGTTTAACATGACACATGTTCTAGGTTTCCTGTCATGCTTAGAAAAGGCTTTTCTACGCCAGGATTACATAAATGTTTATCCACATTTTAATGTTTTGTGGTTTCATGGTTTACATTTAAATCTTTGTTCCACTTGGAGTTGATGTGAAGATTAAGTATGGATCCGGTTTTATTTTACAATTGGTTAGACAGCCACCCCAGTCCAATATTCTCACTCATCTTTTCCTTGGTCATTTGAAATGATTGAGGATGTGTGCTTGATGCTCAAGCGGTGGGACTCATTGTTTAACTGTTGGGGTGCCAGGACCAAGGCCTTGCGGTAGAGGCCTTTCTAGAACCCTCTTTAAGTAAATACGTAACACTGAGGGGTTCATCTTCATCATACTAGAAATACAAGTTTCGCCTTCATATTTCAAAACTACAGAAATTTGTAGATCGTATCTCAGTTTTCATAGTTAACATATTGCTTTAGTGTTTTTCTACCCGTAATGTTCTACCTTTTTATGTTCAAAGCCTGAAAGACATTATGTGTTAAAATTCTGTCATAATAAGTCACTAGAGACACATAAAATGTGATTTGATTAAAAGTATATCTCATTTCCAAGGTGAGAATCCTGATCATTTAACTTTTCTCAAATACCATGTAATAGGATGTTTTGGTAAAACTAATAACAATAATAAATACTGAACTCTGCTATGATTTTTCAGTTTTAATGCATTTTAATGTTCAACTTAATTTTTATAATTAAGTAGAGTTACCTGACATGCTGAGGAATAATAAATCTTCTCTTTTCAGATAATTAGTTTGTTAAATGTGTTTACACCACAAAAGACTCTAGAAGAATTTCAAGATGTGTAAGTATCACTTTAACTCAGTAATGCAGTATGTATCAAAGACTAAAAATTTAGAAAGGAAAAATTGCTTTTTTTACTTAGGAAATGTAGGTAGCAATATATTTAGCCACTTTTTTCTGTGGAAGAGAAATATTAAGGAAGATAGATAATAATATTCAACTCTTTGTGCCTAGATATTATCATCTCCATAACTGATAAATGATGACTGAAAATAATTCTTCGGAGCAGATGGTGATCATTAATGCTGTTGATTGGCTCTGCTGAAATATAAAATGTTGTTCTCCAGTCCCCCTGAAAGCCAGGATGATAGTGTTTGTAATTATTATTTGAAATCATTACGACACTGTATGTTGTGCGATTCCAAAATCTGAAATAGAATTATCTTCCGGACAATAAAATATTAACTTACCGTATTGAAGTATAATGCCCAACTCATCCTAAATTGACTGGTGCATTCGTTCAACAAATATCTGATTGCCACTCGTGTGCTAGGCACTCTCTGGGACTTGGCATACTTCAGTGACCCAAACAGGCAAAGATCCCTTTTATGATTAAGAATTGCAGGTGGTCACACTCGCTCTTAGAGCTTTGTGAAAGCCAGAGAAGAGAAGATACGCAGTTAACATAAGTAAGGAAGTGCCACCATCATAAGGATGTCGCAAGTGTTCTGGAAGAAGTGAGCTGGGTTAGGGAATCAGAAGTGCCAGGGGTTAGGGGTCAGGCCTGGTGCATCCTAAGCAGGGTGGGTGGAGAAAGACCTTACTGGACCGGGGACAAAGAAAGCCTTGAAGGAGGCTTGGGGTTGGTCCTACAGTTATTTGAGGGAAGGTGGGATAGAGATAGAAGGAATGGGCACACAAAGGAGTGGAAGTGGGGCCATGCCCGCTGTGCTCTGAGAGCCGTAAGTGGCCATTGTGGCTGGAGAAGGGGAGCAGAGGAGAGGAGAGGGTGGGCTCGGAGAAGTGATGAGGCCAGGCCCTCCTGGGCCTCGAGGCCTTTTACTCCAGGGCAAGGCAGTAAGACTCAGCAGAGGAGTGAGCTTCCCTGACTTACATTTTCAAAGAATAACTTTAGTGTCTGTGTTGGGAACCCACCATCAGGGGTGGGGACACAGAAGCCCCGTGAGGAGGCTGTTGCAGCAATGTAGGGGAGGGGTGATGGTGGTTGCATTTAGACCAGAGGGTACTAGTTAAAGGGAGAGACTAGAGGCCGAAACTGTCCTGAAGGGGGAGCCACTGTAGAGGACTGCAGTGTGAGGAAGGACAAGCTGAGGGCGATGCCTGGTGCTGGCCTGAGTCCCTTGCAGGTGCTCCCAGCTGAGAAGAGGAGGGCAACAGGCAGAGCAGACTGGAGGGGGAGATGGAATTGGGGGCTCAGTTTTGGATGTGGGCCTCGAGATGACTCTTGGATACCCAGGTAGGCCTGGGACGTGGACAGTTAGATACATGAGCCTGGCGTTCAGGAGAGAGGTCTGGGTGAGAGGTATGAATTTGAGAGTTGATGGTCTGTGGATGGTGTTTAAAGTATTGAGACCAGAGACCAGAGGAGATCACCAAGACTGTGATAGTCAGAGAAGAGAAAGAGGCCAAGGACCAAGCATTGAGTTGGGGAGAGGAGCAGGGCACGACCAGCCAGGACCGTAGGACAGGCCATTGGATTTAGCGACACGCAAGTAAGTCATCGGGGGCCTTGGCGAGGACAGTGCGGAGTGGTGGGGCACAAGCCCCGTAGAAGAGGGCTTCAGAGAAAATGGGAGAAGAATTGGAGATGCCAAGTATAGACGCCTCTTCGGGGAGTTTTGCTTGCAAAGAGAGCAAGAATATGGGGCATAGCTGGTGGGGGCAGAAGGTCAAACATTTTCTTAACATGAGAGAAGTAACAGCATGGTTTCTATATTGGTAAGTATGACCCAGTAGCAAGAAAGAAAGAAAAAGAGAGAGGGAAGGAGGGAGATTTCGGAGAATTTGAATATTTGAGATTCTACTTACTATGATATAAAAATTGTTTTAACTTGAAATACATCATGTTGATAGGTTTTTTTTTTTTGAAAACTTCTAAGTTCCATTATATGTTTGCTTTTTTTTACAAGATACCTTATAAATATTTAGAGAAAACAAGTTATCTTTTTTTTTATTTTAGCCAGTGCAATAACTAAGTAGTAAGTTATACTGTTTCATATAAATATAAGAGTTTAGTAACCATTAAGGAATTTTGGGTGATTTTTATGTGTACATGGCTGATCTTTTTTCCCCCCAGGTATTTGGTTATGGAATTAATGGATGCTAACTTATGTCAGGTTATTCACATGGAGTTGGACCATGAAAGGATGTCCTACCTTCTTTACCAGATGCTCTGTGGTATTAAACATCTGCATTCAGCTGGTATCATTCATAGAGTAAGTAGGGACGCCACGTCAGTTTTATTTTTAAAATCACGATCATTTTCTTATCATGATTCTCCAGGTACAGAAGAACTTAATATTTTTTAAAAAGTTGCCAGTATCGAGAATCCAAGGAAATGATGGGATCGTGTTGAGTTCCCAAATGCCATTGAGATTAGAAGACATTTGTGGAGCGCCTCGTTTGCCCGAGCCCACACGAGCCACTCTGGATGCAGGCTTGAGCTGCTCGGTTTGATGCTGCAGAAGGAAACTTTTTTTTTTTTTAACCTTTCATTTTGAAGTAACTTAAAATTTAAAAGTTACAAGAATAGAGCAGAGAACTCCCAAATGTTATGTACCCAGAATCATCTATTTGTTAATTGCTAATATATTTGCCGTATTTGAAATCCCATTTTTAATGAGGCAGGAATTTAGGTTTGGGGTGGGGAAAAGTTAGAGGCTACGTAGTAAATGATACCGTTGCTTGAGAAATCATACATAAACTATGGCCCAAATATCTATTTCTTAGAATCGTGAAGTTGGCCACTCCAGCATCCCGGCCCCCCTGGTGGGAACTTTTGGAATGGTCCTGGGTGGGCTTCTTGAGCCACTAAACTGGGATTTGAATGACCGAGTTGCCTGTACTCCGTCAGGAAGCAACATTTAAAAACCAGTGAGATACAGTGTAATTCTCCAAGCTGGTTTTACGAGTTTTTGTTTATTTTTTGACTTGTATCACTGTGAGAGCAGAACGTCATGATAGAATTTTCTTTGACAACTAAAATGTTGAGTGAGACTACAGGCAGAGATAATAGAATTGTGTTGGAAACATTCTTAGCATTCCCTAAATTATTACCATACTGATTTTGTCGACAGACTGTCTTTAGATATTATAGTCCAACATCAAGAAGTTGTCATTTCTCTGAACCACAGTCTGTGTGGGCAGAAAGATAGTGAGACCAGAACAATGATGCCTATTCATAGAGAAAAGAATAGAGAGATTTTCGATGCTGCAGTAGATCTGTTAGGTGCCAGGAAATGTTGGGCGCAACCACACAGCGCGCCAATCCAGAGAGGACCCAGCTGCCCTTGCCCCTGGCCATGAGCCTCAGGTCTGGGACCCCAAAGCCCGCAGGCCTGGGCGGCATACCTGGGGCCTTGCACACCAGTAAGCACCCAGCTCCTGATCCTGTGCGGTTACTTAAAATACGGCCTTTGCTGCCACCAGGTGTCCGTTAAAATAATATAAATTCTTTTGACAAATCTGCTTTTAAAATAATGCTGTTCATTTTTTTCTTTAGTTTTTATGTAAATTCCAGTTAGTTCGCATACAGTGTAATATTAGTTTCAGGCGTACAATCATGATGCAACACTTCCACACACCACCCAGTGCTCATCACAGGTGCCCTCCTTCCTCCCCATCACCTGTTTCCCACATCCCCCCCCCACCCACCTCCCCTCTGGTGACCAGCAGTTTATTCTCTTATAGTTAAGAGTCTGTTTTTTGGTTTGTCTCGCCCTCTTTTTTTTTCCATTTGCTCATTTGTTTCTTAAATTCCACAAATGAGTGAAATCATATGGTATTTGTCTTTCTCTGAGTGACTTCTTTCACTTAGCGTAATAATACCCATTTTTTTAAATTAAAAATAAACATTTCCCAACATATCATTCTGTTTCAAAAATTTTCACAGGCCATTATATAAATTAAGACACTCTTCCTAGCTCTTAAATACGTTTTGTGTTACATTCACACTTTAGAATAAGTTTCCAGCCTTATTATTATTAGGCCTGATTATGTTGAGCCTTATCAGTTTTGTAAAGGAAAGTGGTTTGTCTTACTTATTTCTCCCTTCTTGGGCCCAGAGACTTGTGGGGAAGCAATATCCTGCCGTTGCTGGGGACCTTTTCAGGGATACAGCACATGTGCCCATGTTAGGGAATATTCGGTCCCAAGCTTGGTCCCACTCCTGCTGACCAGAATGTCAAAGAGAGTCCAAAGGGGTGTCTGCTTTGCCCAGCACACCGGAACAAATGATCCACGGACCCCTTCTCCATCCTGTCCACCACCCCACCAGGCCTTGCCACTCCCCCTTCTTGTCTTCTACCCGTTCACACATTCGTGGGCCTGCCAGGCTTTGTGCTTACTCGTGAAAGTACCACATGCTGGTTGTGGGAAAGGGAGATAGAGCGAATAGCGAGAGGTCTCCGTTGGCGTACCCCACCCACCCGGCCAGGGCCCAAGAGGTGATGAGCTGTAAGAGCCCGTTAGTGGGTGGACGGTTGTCCATGAGCCTTTCTAGTCCTTTCTCCCATATACAATGCCATGCACAAAAAACACACTTTCAGTTTTGCTTATTAAAATGCTTTCATACTAAACATAAAATTTAATTATTTGAAAAATAAAACACCAATAGTCTCACCACTTTTTCCCTTATATGATTCAAAAACTTAAAAGAAGAGAAAGTCCTCCAGCTCTCTGCTGTTGCCTGGGGGTGGCCGGTGATGGCAGCTGGGTATTTCCTCCCAAACTTCATAGTGACTGCGCTACAACTAACATATCTGTGTGTACCTATGTCCTTTTCAATTTATACTTTTCAAATAGGGGGCCCCCTTGTTTGTAATTGTTCTGCAACTCACTGAACAAGTTGGTTGATTTGTTCCTTATTTTAATCAAGGATCAAATAGTTCTACAAATATTTATTTAAACAACAGAGTCCCCACGTCCTCCTTCTAATTTCTCCCTCCCCAGAAGCAAACTCGGTTCTTTTAGCTGTTATTTTGGTGTTTATCCCCATCCCTTGAAGTAATATTAGATTTTTATCCATTGGCCTTTTTTTTTTTTTCAGTTTGGGGCATAAGGTACCAATTTAGCTCCCTTTCCCCAACCCAGACCCTCCCTCCACCACGTTTCCTGTTCTCTGACCTCCAGGTATTTGCAGTGTCATCAGGTTTGAACCAACCAGTGTGGATGGCGTGTTGTCTATCATCATGACACCTAAACGCTCTCCCCTGCACAGCCTTTTGTTTACACTATGATAGAATTTCTTTTCCCTTCAATGTTTTGTCCCTGGAGTTAATGCCACTTGTCATTTCTTTGTTTGCATTGTGCTCTTCATTGTTTTGTTTTTCAAGGAGCAAGGAGTTTTCTCTGCTCTCCTTGCTGAGTTAATGCAAAGCTTTCTGCCAGGTGTATAGGTTTCCTCTCAGCGTGTGCAGGGAATGCACTGTTTCCTCGTCGGTGGGATCCCGCTCTTGGAGGCTCAGCGCTGCTCCCCAGCGGGACTGGCCGCCCCGAACCTGATGCAGATGGGTTATCCTGGGCCCGGCCCTGGCATTTCCCTGGGGCTTTCCTTAACCTGCTTCCAGACCTCTTTCTGTCTTTCTCAGTTTACTCCCTTGTTTTGGTGGGACGCATCCTCCAGCAGCTTCCCCAGAAGTGGTGCATGGGAGGCAAACTTTTTTGCGGCCTTGGACGCCTGAAACTCTTCGTTCTGCCCTGCCTGTCACGTGATTCATAGTTTGGTTGGATATAGAATTCTTAGTTATAAATGAGTTGCCCTCTGAGTTGTAAAGGCAGTACCCTGTTTTAGTGTGGTGTAGTTTGACTTTTGAGCTTTCTAATACCATTCTTATTCCTGATCCTTTGCAAGTGCCCTGTTGTGTTTTATCTCCAGAATCTTGTAAAAACGGTTCTTTATTTCTTGCATTCTGAAATGTTATGAAGATATGCCTTGATATGGAAATTTTTTCATTAATTGTGGTGGGCACTTGAGGCCCCTTCAGTCTGAAAGGCCATGGCATAGAGTTCTGGGAAATTTGTAATATTTCTTCCAGAATGCCCAGAATGCCTGGTGTCAGAGGCTGTATGTGGTGGGGTCGGGATGCAGTCCTCTGCTACAGAGCCTGTCTTCAGGCTGGGCCCTTCACCCATGCCCTCCCTGTGCCTCGTACCAGCATATCTGTTGCTAATGTGCCTGAGGCCCGAGTCTGGAATCTCGATTTTAGTTTTTCTAGACTATATGGGCCTGTAGGAGTGAAGAAGGAGCCCAGCCAGGCCTTTCTTCTGGGGTGGAGCTGGGGAGGTCTGCCTTTACCTTTACGTGGACCTTCCCAGACCTCCCTCAGTGTCCCACCCCTGCTTCACCCTGAGCCTTTCCTGGGCGTCGTGGTTCCCCTTATCTTGCTCGGGCCACTCCCCGAGGTTGGAATGTACTGCACTCAGCCAAGTCATTTCCTGCCTCTCTGCCGCTCTTTGTCCCCAGAGAGCGCGTGGGGCTTTTTATGGGCAGCATCGGCGTGCCAGGATGGGGTTGGACGTGCGAGACCCGTAGTGGGAGGCGGCCTGTGAGGAAGGACCAAGGAGGGGTCTGCAGGGGGTGGAGAGGCAGGGGGAAGGCAGCAGGGGTCTGAGCCCTTGGAGGCGCTGAGGGCAGAGCCGCAGGCTGCGGTACATCTCTCAGAGAGCCTGGCCCACCGCACAATCCATGAGCCGCCCACCAGCGGATGTCTCACAGGGATAGGCTTCTGCCCCACGCTGCCACTGACCAAGAGCCACACGGGTCGGAAGGAGCTCCCCGGTGCTCCCCAAGGGGAGACTGAGAAGAGGGAGGCCACACGCCGTAGCTCCTGTCCCTGCAGTTGCTCCCGGGGCCACAATAGACGCTCACTCGCCCCTCTCCGCTGTCCGTGCCCTCGGCCGTCACCTTGGCAGGTCTCCATGCCATGTGACCCAGACCTTCATATCTGAGGAGTCAGACTCCGGCGGCTCGGGCAGGAACGGGGTCCACAGACCCAGCCACCTGGCAGTCATCTCCCCAGTCTCGTGAGCGTGTGACTGGGACAGGTACCCTTGGCAGTTGGAGTGACCCCTGCGCTGGTTCCTTGGCCTGCGATGGTGAAGGCCCCGAGGAAACATGAAACTGTCCCCTCAAGATAAGCCAGAAACACGATTGATCCCTGGGGGGGTGGCGAGGATAGAGGACTTAGTACCACCATCAAAAGTCAAGGAGTGCGAGGACGGTGCTCCGTGTCGTAGCTCAGTTTGAGTCCCCAGTCCAGCGCTGGAGGAAACTAGGTGGTCCTGGGGAATGTGGACGACTGAGGCCAAAGCGGCTCGTAGTCCTGGTTGCAGCTGCTGTCCTGGCCGCAGTAGAAGTGCTAGAGTGGACTGGTAAGGCCTCCGTGCGACGTGAAGCCGCTGACGGGGCGAATGCATTCTTCCATTCTGGTTGGGGAGAGGGTCAGAAACCGCTCACGCACAGGTGGGACGGACAGCAGTGGGATGGGGTTCCACAGTGTGTCATCGTCACCCAGCTGGAATGATGGTGCTTGGGTCGTCGAGTTTCAGGGTCCACTCAGAGCTTGGGTCCCATAGTCCTCCAGACGACTGCTTAGCCTCCTGTCGCAGGTTCCAGTCACCCAGGTGAGTGGCTGTGGGTACCTGTAGGGCAGAACTGGGGAAATCAAAGCAGTGGATGCTTGTCACCATGTGCAGGGTCCTCCTTGCTAGGACGCCGCTTTAGTCAGTGGGCCCCGATCTGAGAACTGACTGGGGCCCTGGTCCCCTTGCTCCTCTGCTCTGGCCCTGCTTTGGCTACAGATGTTTCACACACTCTTGTCCGTGACAGGGATGCTGCGCTTTCGTAGCCATCCCCTCACTCTGTGGGTCAAGCCCCAAGTTCGCGTGTCCTTTGTATTTTAATGTCTATTTCTTGTTTTCCCTGTTGGGGGTGTTCTTCAAGCATTGAAGGGGCAGAACTGTCTTTCCTCGGCCACCTGGAAGCCCTAAGTCTAGTCTGTTTCAGAGAGCTGCCGGTGGCCGTGTGTGGAGGCTGAGGACAGAGCGCCGGGGAAGTGGGGAGCCCGCAGGAGCCCCAGGACCTTTTTCAGCCTCTCCTGTGGGCAGGCGCCCCGAGGCCAGCGCCTCTCCCTGGCCCGCGGGGGCCGCTGTCCACAGCGCAGTCGGCTTTGCATTTTGTTATCACAGTTTTCCAGCAGATGGCAGTAGAGGGGGTTCTTCCAACCAAATCCAACCAAATCCAACTAAATCCAACCAAATCTGCACAGGAGGAGAATTTTCGGGCAGGTGGAAGGGGCTGGAGATAGGCATGTGTTCTACCTCACTCTGCGGTTCACTGAGCCTGCCGGGGGCAAGCTGCTGTACTAACCCTTATCCCTGTGGCTTTATATCAAGGCCAGGGTGGATTTCAGGGGCTGCTGGCTGGCAAAGTAGAGACATTTCAAATTTTTAAGAAATCAGCTTTCTCAAAAGAAAGCACCTATTGACATCCCAGCCAACAGCGTCAGGAAGGCTCTGTGTTGGCCAGCCCTGGATGTTGTCATTCTTTTCCTCATTGCCACACGGGGGACCAAAAATAGTTCCTTGTCATTTGGACATTTAAAAAAAAAAACTTTTCTTCACAAAGTTGAGCATTATTTCACCTGTTAGCAATCTGTATTCTAACATGCCTATTTTTGCCATAGTCTTGGTTTTAAAAAAAGCTAGAAACAAATTGGTTCTTTGCCTTAGCTGCATGACTGCCTCCTCACAGGGCAGGGTCGCTGGTGTGCGTGAGGGGCTTATTGAGGGGTGGGGTGCTCCCCCGGGTTCCCCCACATCAGGACACACGTCTGAGAGGGTGGTGGCCAGCGAGGCCAGGGCATCTGCTTGGAAATCGGTTGGAATTTTCATTGCGTTTTTCACACTTTACATATTTCTGCCGAATCCAGGAAGGTGAGAACATTCAGCAGTAATGAAACATAACTTTAGCTGATGTAAGTTTTAACTGGAGGCACACCTGCATGCGCCCATCTGCGTGCGCCCTGGGAAAGTGTTAGTCAGGTGCTGGGCCTGACACCTCACACCGAGTCCTCCCAGGTCCGCCCGTGCTCGGCGTGACTTGTGAAGACAACAGACGGGGTAGCTGAGAAGGCAGTTTCCAGGGCGCGTGTGCAGGCTGCCATCCCAGGTGGAAGTCAGGTCCCTGTGGCCTGAGGAAGGGTCCGGGGACGAGAGGGTTGTCAGGGAGGAAACCGTGGAACTTGTGTTCACGTGTCCAGGGTGCGGGGTCGAGGGGCGGGTGACAAGTGTGTTCACGCTGTATCAGGCTGGGCTCTGAGAGCTGGGAGCACAGCCAGGGTCTCTGGTCACGGAAGTGGTGCTGGCAGGGGGGAGTGGGGGTGCCTCCCGGGTGGTGTGTGCGGTGGGTGGGCTTGGTGACCGTGGAATTCCTTTTCTGAGAGAAGAAGGCGCCCTTCGAAGATTGCCGAGTCGGAGAATTCTAGCCCCGTGCTGAGCGGTATGGCGGCCATGAGCCACATAGGGCTGTTGAGCACTCAGAATGTGGCTATGATTGTAAATACACAGTGGATTTCAAAGACGCTACCAAAAAGAGAATGTGAACTATCTCATTAATAAGTTCTCTATGTTGCTTCACATTGTAAAATGATAGTGTTATGGATATAATGGGTTTAATGAGATGATTAAAATTCACCTAATCTGTTCGTATTTATCCTTCCTAAGATGGCTACTCGAAAATGTAAATGACGTGTGTGGCCTGCATTATATTTCTGTGGGACAGCTGGGGACTGAAGGATGAGCCGGTGTGGAGGAGGGATAGGTGGGTTCTGTGGGAGCTCCGAGGAGATTTTAAACAAAGGGAGGCCGTGAAGTTCCCCACGTGGGGATGAGGGCGACCATCCGACTGCCTGAGGCTGATTTGTATTCGTTTCAATTTGAGAGTCGGGTTTTCCAAAATCCCAGTGTTCAGTTCTAACCTCCCTCGGTGTCCCAGGACTCAGATACTTCCGCAGCCCCCAGCCTCACAAATCCCTACCAGTGCAAAGTTGTCCATTTAGCATGCTCTGGGTTGTTGCGCTCATTTAAACCATTTCTGCCCTAGGACTTGAAGCCTAGCAACATCGTAGTAAAATCAGACTGCACGCTTAAGATCCTTGACTTTGGCCTGGCCCGGACAGCATGCACCAACTTCATGATGACGCCGTACGTGGTGACACGCTATTACCGGGCGCCCGAAGTCATCCTGGGCATGGGCTACAAAGAGAACGGTGAGTGCAGGCGGCACTCCCGCGTGGCCGCAGCTCCCCACTAGCGTTGTCCCCTGAGCCACAGGAAACACCATGTGGGGACTGTGTCACACACAGGTCATCAGGGCCACAGACGCGACATCATTAATCTCATATCTCCACTGGCAGAAGTCACCCACTTCTACAAATTCACTTTCAAAATGAATATGTTTGACCGTCTCTCCAAGTTTAACATACATGTTTGGAGAAGTGTGCAGACCCACCACACCAGCAGTACCCAAGACCTCCCCAGGCCCCCTCCTTGGTCTCAGCCCCCAAAGGGAGCCATTATCCTGATTTCCGGTGCCAAAGCCTGGTTTTGCTTATTTTTGAACTTGGTAATAATTGAATAACACGTTCTCTTTTGTGAAAAACTGGGTTTTTAACATCAAAACTTAACTTACTCTAACAATATCAGAGCCCTTTTTTAACTTAGCCGCTGACAAATTTGTTGAAAAGAACTCAATCACAGTTACTTGCTAAGAGTCTGAAAGTTTGCACAGGTCATGTGGAATGTAACCAGTGCCCCCGCTCTGAGAGACGCCACTCTGTGGCTTCCTGCTGGCCCCATTGGCTCCTCCACCAGCACTAAGTATGGGCACTAAACAGCCCTCTGTCTGGCCATCAGGCCCCACGGAAGCCCAGACCAGCACACCTGCCCTGTAAGGTCCTGCCAGCATGGCAGTTTAGCAGAGCGTCACTCAGCAAGTGTTGTGCCCATATTTTACGAAAGCTGGGTTTGTCTTTGTTGGGAGGGGGTTTGAGGAAGCTGCATGGGGGTCTCCGGCTGGTTTTAATCACCTGGTGTTTGGTAGTGGACATCTGGTCTGTCGGGTGCATCATGGCAGAAATGGTCCTCCATAAAGTCCTGTTCCCAGGAAGAGACTGTATCCTTCACAGGGAGAGCCCCAGCACCGGCCACGGGGGGTGGGGGGGCGGGGGGGGAGCGGTGGGGGGCACGTGGCCTGCACACAGCTTTGTGGGGACAGGCACCTCTTCTCTCGGGGGTTTGTTTGTTTCTCAAGCTGTAAAGTCCTGGACTCTTGGGCACTAAAGCCCAGATTGCTGGAAGCCGAAGGCCACAGCGGAGGCCAGCAACCATTCACACCGTGGAAAGAGCTCACCCTTAGCTAGCAATTTATTTTTCCATATTTGTGTGTTTAGTACACTGTTAGAATTCCTTTTCCTCACCTTTGTTTTGTTCATGGCACTTCATAATTTTATCATTTCATTTTATTTTCAGTTGATATCTGGTCAGTGGGTTGCATCATGGGAGAGCTGGTGAAAGGTTGTGTGATTTTCCAAGGCACTGACCGTATCCTTCCCGGGACCTTCCCGGCCATGCTTTCCATAAATGCCAAAGACAGCAGGAGCTCGAAAGGAAAATGTTGTAATTCTAGACTGTGTGTCCCAAGGGGGTCTTTATTATGTTTGTTAAATAGTGTCACAAACCAAATGGTTCAGTTTTATGTTTTCTTTTTCTCTTGACTACCTGCAATGACTTTACTGAGGTTTAGAGTTACTAACGTTAAACCGATCATATTAGTTCTTAATTTTATCAAAAATAGCTTAGAAATTTATTTACTCTTTGTCAAATGTATTCTGATATTTAAATGAAAACACTATTTAGTTTATTCAGTTAATTTAACAAGGAAGGTTTCTGTCTAAATTTAATAGGCTAGTATTGCTGTGTCATTCAATTAATATACCATTTTGTTAGCTGTCGGTATGGACTAAAATATTTTCCCCCAAAGTAAGAACTGAAGCATACTACATAAGACCAAAGTAAAAGAGATGGAAAGGAAATGTTTGTGAGGAACAGTATATGTTAATTTTCTTGCCTGTTACTCTGCTGACATTTTGTAGAAATTTTTAAAAGATCCATCTAAAAGGTTCTTTTGTGACATACCTGGAGAAGTCTAAATAAATATAAAATGCAAAAGATTAACTTATACTGTGGTCAGCAAATCACATTAATGACATACAGCATAAAGCAGAAGACAATAAATAGTTAAAATAGCTTTCTTTCATCGTGGTCCTCATATTCTTCCATCTTTAATATTTTTCACTCTAACATATTCCCTTTTTCATTTGTGAAATGTGGTTACACTTACGATTTTCATTAGTCTTTGATTTTGTTTTTTCCTTATGAAAGCTTAAAGTGGTCTCTGTTGGCAGATTGATGGTTATTTTTAAAGGAGATCGAGCTGTGTAGTCAGTGTTTTGTATGTATTTTATTAAAGTTATTATAGTTTTTTATAATTTTATGAGGGTGATTTTCTTGTAATACCAATTCTTTACAACACAAACATGGAATGAAAAGATTTTGTTCCTATCATTTTATTTGCCTTCCTTGACATTTTTCACATCACAGATTTTATGTGAAGTTTTAAATACAGCATTTTATTTTGTTCTAATAAATTTTCTAGCAGTTTTCCATAGCCTTTCCTTTGATTCACTTGTTCCAAACTATAAATAAGGAGGTCTTTATTTTGCAAACAGACTCAGCTTAAAAGGGAAAAGTTGATATAGTCTAAAGATAAATAATTTAGAAGGATCTACTTAACATTTCATTTGTCTCAATTCTTATTCATTTTGTGCCTTTCCTTTTTTGAATTAAGAAATGTTTTCTTCAGAAAGTACAAAAACTGTGGATACTTTCTGGTGCATTATGAAGTTAATTTAAAGTTCCTACCTTACATACTAACATCTTGCAATATCGTTAACTAATAGTTTTATATATAAGGCCACCTGAGGTCATTCTCAAAATATATACACAGAGCTAACACCATTTTTCAAAGGCAATTTTTGCCCACTCTTTCAAACATTAGATTCAGAATTACTAGGATGGAAAAAGATTCTGGCAGCCAGACTGCAGTTCTCTGAGATGTGCTTCAGATCCATGACCTGGGGTAGAAGAGGACCTCCTGTGCCCACAGTAGCCCATCAGAGAGAGGGAGCTGCGGCCAGCCCGCCTCGGGCTCACAGGAGTCCGGGCCTCCCCGAGCCTCAGTCCCCCTTCGGTACAACTGAGAGGCCCGTGGGAGCCGAGGGACAGGAACGAGCGCACACACCCGGAGGCCAGCCAGGCTTGTTGGGGGTGACTTTCCCTTCCCACCCCCCACCCCCCATTAGTCTACAGAAATGACCCTTTATCATGAACACACTAGACATTTACTGAGCACCCCCCCGTTTCTAGGCTCCTATCTGACTTACGTTGGGAAAGCTCGTCCCAGCTGCTGAGCTGAAGGCAGACAGACTGTCACAGGAAAGAGCAGAAGCAGAGAGACGAGGGGCTGTTTCGGATGATCAGTGGGAAGTGAAGGTGGTGAGCAGGGCTTCCGATCCTGCTTCGGCAGCACGTAGGAACGCAGGAGTGAGGGAGGACAATATGCTAGTGACTCCAGTGGCCAGAACCCGTCTCCCGAGCCTGTTCAGCTCCCCCAGGTTCTTCCACAGTGATACGATTGCATTTTTCTAAGACAAACCTCCATTAGATTTAAAAAAAAAAAAAAAATTGAAAACTTTTCTAAACATTGCTGTTTACGTGATTCTTTTTTTTCTGGCCTACATTCTCTTATGTAATTGCCTACGGTCTCAGAATCACTTTCCAGCTCATGATGCCAGTTTTTCCAAGCCCCCTGTAAACTAGGCAAAGCTGGTATTTTCTGCATCTTACCAACAGGTAAGCTGAGAGCCAAGGGAGACTGAGTGCTCGGTGGCACCTACTGCAGGGCTAGGAGCACAGTGGAGTCTGAAACCCAGGTCATGGACTTGGAGAGGAAGTAAGATGCACTCCAGGGGACTGCGGTGATGGTCAGGGTCAGTGCCGAGTGAGAGAGAATGACCTCCCAAAGCTGTCAGTCCAAGCCCTGTTTCAAGCAGGCCCATGGTCCCGTGGAGAGGACGAGGCCTGGGCTCAGAGAGCCCCGAGCCCCGGCTCATGCACTGCACGCCATGGGGCCTCTGCGTCCCCAGCTGTGAGCCCAGGACTCAGGTCTGTCTACTTCAGGGAGTTACGAATCTAAGTCTCTTTGGTGTGAAAATTGATTTCGGTTTGCCTAAGTAACATTTATCTAATTTCATCTTTAATCACCTCTGTCATGGGTAGTCTTCAGTTCCATGATAACGGTCTCTTGGTCTAGAAGCCGAAGGCATACATCCCTCAGTGTATTGGTCTAATAAACTGCGATCAGGGTTTAGAAAGGCGCAGAGGTTTTAAAACTAGTCTCAACTTTGGAAACCCACACCGTATTTACCTATCATTTCAAAACACCTGTGGGATGGCCTCGTTCATTACCTGTCAGTAGGTAGAAAGAGGATTTCAGTGCTTCTTTGAATGACGCTACTCCACATAACGTGACTGTAAGGCCCTTCAGTGGTATTTTCCTCAAGAGACTCCTTAGATATTGATCAGTGGAATAAAGTCATTGAGCAGCTAGGAACGCCGTCTGCGGATTTTATGAAGAAACTTCAGCCGACTGTGAGGAATTATGTGGAAAACAGACCGAAGTACCCTGGCATCAAGTTTGAAGAGCTCTTCCCAGATTGGATATTCCCATCAGAATCCGAACGAGACAAAATTAAAAGTAAGATGCCCTTTGTTTCCCTCATCCCTGTTTCCGCAGTCTAGGCACCGCTCTCAGCCTCTTCAGGTTCACGTTCTGACTCCCCTGGACGTGGGGAGATAAAATAGGGGAAACCCTCAAATAGAGTGAGGTACAGGCCAGCCTGAAGGCTTAGCGACCTGAAAGTTCTGTCCTCGACAGAAGGGCCGCATTGAAGCCTTTGGTCAAAATGAAGAGGTTTGTGTCAGTCTCAAAGACTCCTATGTTAATTATAGCTAATTGGAATTCACACAGTTTTCAGGTACACGGAACACTTGAATTAAGATTCTAGCCCATAGTTCGATTACAAAAAGCTCCTCCTTCCCTTCTCCGGTGCCCGTCACTAGAACTGTGATTTAAGGAAAAGAATAGATTTCTCCCCACATCACGGTAAACTGTGCCTCCATCAGAAGAGCCCCATCTCTCCTTTGCCTACCCATGTGAACCTTAATTGCCGGAACCTAGGTGAGTCACTGAGCTTGTTGGGTTTTTTCCTAACAAGTAATCTCTAGATTTTTTTTAAGTTTATATTGCCAACACTACATGCAGGTAGGCATGTAGCAGAGGCATCTGTGAAGTGTTCATGAGATTACTGTATGGCTGAAGAGGTCCGTTCTAATTTTGTTTGGATGGGACATCAAGAGAAGAGCCTGCCCGTGCTCTGTGCCTGCATTTCGGGCAGTGGTGGCCCTTAGCTCAGTTCCTGTGCCCTCCCTGGTGGCGGCTCTCCCTGGGCACCGTGTCAGCCTCCCTTTGGCCTACATCCACCTGCTACCCTTTCCCCAGGCCCTGTCCCTCCGCCTCCCCTCCCAGAGCCAGAGGCACACCGAGGTTGAAAACCTGATTGGTAGTGAAAGTGGCTTATTCTTAAAGAAAAAAGCCTCGATTGATCTGGAGCCTGTCAAATATTTCTCAGAGTTAAAACATCTGTGTTCTATCTGCACTGTCACATTATCTGTGTGATGTTCTATGTCTCAGCATTAATTTATTCATCTAATATTTGTTTCCACCCTAGCAAGTCAAGCCAGAGATTTGTTATCGAAAATGTTAGTGATAGATCCCGACAAGCGAATCTCTGTCGACGAAGCTTTACGTCACCCTTACATTACCGTTTGGTATGACCCTGCTGAAGCCGAGGCGGTAAGCATCTGTTTTGGAAGGACTTGTGCCTAAGGGCAGGGCATACATTTCCTTAGATCTTCCGTCCATCCTGGGGCTGTCGCTCAGTGTACCTCGGGACTGTGCCCTGTGTTTTGCTTATAACACCCTATTTAGGCCACCCCATCAGAGAGGCTAAGAAACTTGCTGAAAATCCCAAGTTTATCTGTCCTTCCCCAGAGGCACCTGGGGCGTTCCCAAGGGGGTTCCACTTCAAAGTGCGGCGCTCAGGTGCATTTTCCCTTAGCAACACTGGCCTGGATGATCTCTGGCTATAAGACATAACCTCGTGGGGGCAGGTTCATTTTCGGACTGGCCTGTGGATTTAACCACCACAGTGAACACTGTTTCATATGAAAGGAGTCCCATTTATCAACATGTGATTTTGAAGCAGATTTTTGGAACGGTCCAGTGTGAGTTGGGGATTGGGTATGGGGGCTTCAGCATGAAGAACTGCAAACCTGAGCCAGCACGGTCCTTGTCCAGGGCGGGTCTCTAGGAAGGGGCTTGTGATTACTACTTTACAGTTCCATCTGGGCAGATGCCCTGAGACTGTTTGGAGATTATGTAATTATTAAGAGGACCATAACGGCTCCTTTTTTTTTTTTTTTTGGTTAATTTCTCCCTAATTATTTGGATTTGGAAAGTGATGTAATAATGTCACACTTATGAAAAACCTTTAAGAAGCCATGTATTGAATGAAAGCCACATGATAGAGAGATTAGAATCTCCCCAGTGATTTTACCATCTTCATGCCCCGTTACATTTTTAACTGTTGACTTCACATGTAATTTAATTTTTCAGCCACCACCTCAGATTTACGACGCCCAATTGGAAGAAAGAGAGCATGCAATTGAAGAGTGGAAAGGTAAAGACAGCTGCTTTTGCCCTTCGCTCGCTCACGGCACGTCGCCTGTCAGCGGGAGCCTTTCTAGGGTAAAGGGCTAGAGGCCCTGCAGCCCCTCTTAGCCCCTGTCTTCCCACTCCCTAGATAACAGAATTAGAGAGGAGCAGGTATGAACCGCATACTGTTTGCTTCTGAAGATTTTAAGATTCACCAAACAGCCCACAGCAAACAGCCCGTAACCAGAAGGTCGAAGAACAATTCTCCATTAAAAAGCAGAATCAGTAGGAATTGAGAGCCTCAGTGAGTGCAGGTCAAAGGTGGCAACGTGCTCTGCCCAAGCAGATTACATCTGCTCTCCCCGGGGCCTCGAAGAGCCGGGACCTGTGTGAACATGCGCTCGGCAGGACGATGCACGCAGCCACGCTCCGCGGCCAAGGAGATGCTCGCAGCGTTCTCATCTTGGTTCACGAACGCCGAAATTGTAGGAACCCCTAATGCTTCCTTAGTAGGTCGTTAGCTTTACTTACAAGTCAGAACCAAGGAAACTAAGGTTGAAGCCAAGAAATGACTGAGGAATTTGGATTAATTTCTGGCCAGTCTGGAGGGGCTTCTTACCCACAGATGGATACCGGCTCCATTTGGAGAATCCCGAGTAATGACAGAAACACGTGCAAACAGTGCAGAAGTGTCTAGTACTTTAAAATGCTCCACGAGAGCCACTTTGCTGGTCCCCTGCCCCTTGTACAACCCCCTTGTGGGCTTAGAACTGCCTGGGGTTTCGGCCGCCCTCACAGTTGGGTTAAAAAGAGTAATGGATCAAAAACATGGATGTTTTGGTCTAGGTAGACGGTATTATTGAATTAGCCATATATCACAGTTAAAAATAAGGCATCACAGTGCCCTTGGAGTGGTCCCGATTGATTAGGAAGCAGGGTTCAGAGATGCAGAGAAACTGATGAAGCCTCTTAACTTGCGTTTCTTTTTGAAGAGCTGATATACAAAGAAGTGCTGGACTGGGAAGAGAGAAGCAAGAACGGTGTGGTCAAAGATCAGCCTTCAGGTTAGTGATTGCTTTAATAGCTTCGTTACAATTTCCTTTTCCCCGTCCAACTTTCCTAAATGGCAGAAGTGCCTGAAGTACCACCTCGACGGGCACTGGGTCCGAAAGCTCGTGCTGTGAGATGGGCTCCCTGTCTGGGGCGTCATGCTGGCGGCAGCCAGCAGGTTCCTGGTGCGCCGGGCACTAAACTAACTGCGTCCGAGCCGTCCTTGTCCCGTGCCTGCCTCTGCTCCCGCCAGCCCCGCGTGCAGATGACGGAGCCGAGTTTAAAATGTTGCCAAGGTGCGTGACCCTCTCTGGACTGGCCCCACCCGGTTACAGAGGAAAATCTGTGCAAATCTAAGTACAATGGAATTTGGTTTCCTTTTGAGAAAGCTGTTCATACAATTCTCCCACATTTGTACTTGGTCTGCCTGGTGGTCGGTTCCCCGGGTGACTGTTGGAGACATAACATGTGTCGTGTTCACTCAGATCCGTAGGATCCCACCTGCTTCCTGAGTGAAATCCTTCCAAGGTATATTTATTGGCTCACCTCGTATCCCCCCAGAAGCCCATGCACATGCACACGGAGGTGCAGACGGCACTGCATACTTTCTCTTGAATTTTATATTCAGCATGACGTATGTGTCAAGCATCTAGAGATTATGTAACTTCAGCACAGATTTAGGTGCCCGTGGTTAACGAGGCACATGTTTAAGACTGCAAGTACTGGCCTCTGGGAGCTCAGATGTTTTATTTTTGCTCAAGCCAGACTAAAATACGGACCGTAGGAAACAGGGTAGTTTCGTGTACCTTAAAAAACCAAAATGTTAGTTTTCAGGATGTATAAAACAAAAATAAAATGAACAAGAGGCCACTAAACTTTTTCCTTTCTGTTTGTTTGTATACAGTCTTTATTTTAGCAGGGTTTTAAATTTAAATTCAGTTAGCCCACATACAGTACATACTTAGTTTCAGATGTAGCATTCAGTGATTCATCAGTTGCGTGTAACACCCAGGGCTCATCACATCACGTGCCCTTGTTAATGCCCATCACCCGGTTACCCCATCCCCCCATCCTCCAACCCCTCCAGCAACCCTCAGTTTATTTCCTGCGATTAAGAGTCTCTCATGGTTTGTCTCCCTCTCTGATTGTTTTCCATTCCGTTTTTATTACAAAAGAATTCTTCAAAGGTTGCTGTTTTTTTCCTTCGGACCAAGTGTTGTCCCTCGGACCAAGTGTTGATGATTATAGCTGAAATGTCTGATGACCCTTGAACCCTATTTGGGCTTCAGCCTTTTGTGACACCGATAGTTGTAGGATAAATTCAGCAATTTTCTACGAATATCTTTTTTAAAGAGGCAGGTATTTTTCAACATGATTATACGCATGCACAGATACGATGTTTAGCCACTGGGAAGAAAAGAAGAATGTTGTAGGGAAAGACCAGGAATGTTTGGGACCCTGGGCCCAGAGAAAGACTCCAGGAAAAGGTGGGCACGGGCAGCCGACTCACTGCTTGTTCATGCTGGTAGTGAGACCAGGGAGCCACAGAAGCCCGGGGCTGGGAGACGGCCCCAGGTCTCAGTGCCCGCACCCGCGGCAATGTCGTGCCTCAGATTTTATTCTGTTTGGTTTTCTTAGCACAGATGCAGCGGTAAGCAGCAACGCCACTCCTTCCCGGTCGTCATCCATCAACGACATCTCATCCATGTCCACCGAGCAGACGCTGGCCTCAGACACAGACAGCAGCCTCGATGCCTCGACGGGACCCCTCGAAGGTTGCCGATGATAAGTCACGAGCCGTAAGCTCGCCAGCAGTGAAGGAACTCCCGCTTCCATGGCCTGAAAGGCTTGGGGGGTTGATGGAACCAAATAGAAAAAAACTCCATGTTCTGCATGTAAGGAACACGATGCCTTGCCCTGCTCAGTTCCAATAAGATTGCCTGCCTAGATTATACAATGAAGCAGACTATGTCTGAAGAACACAAGTGCAAGCCACACTCGTAGAGATTTTGTGCAAGGTCATTTCAGGTGAGCAATTAGAATAGATGATTTTTTTTTTTAAGTTGTACGGTAATAGTAGTGACAATTTCTCATCCTCAGTAACTGTTGGGACATATATGCATGTGACCACGTGTGCTTGCTCAGGCTTGCCATCTAGCACTTTGGAAATCAGTATTTAAATGCCAAATAATCTTCCAGGTAGTGCTGCTTCCAGAATTATCTCTTAATCCTCTTAAGTAATTTGGTGTCTGTCCAGGAAAAATACATTTATGTGTATTAATTGGCCACCATCATATTATCGTATCTTACCTTCTTTTATGGTATGATTTATTCTATCTTTTGTATTTCAGAAGGAATATAATTAAATCTATTTAATAAATAAAAAAATACAACTTTTCTTAAATTTGTCATGTTTTGGGCTGAGGATTATCACTGCTAAAACCAAGAGACCTATATGGACACTTTGTTTCCTCTAAATTGTCTTAGTCTGGGATGACTGTACATTCAGCTTTATTGCATGATAAAATTTTAAGTTTTGTGCTGCTTAAGACGTATATGCCTTTACAGTCCTAATCTGCCCTCGCTCCTTTCTCCTGGTCTTCTGGACTCATTAATTTAAAATGCCACCTAAAACTTCACCTTCTTTATAAGGTACCTAACGCTCCACGTCAATAACACAATGGCAGATTCTCGAATCCATTAGAGGCGAGAGTAGAATTTGACAAAAACGGTCACTGAAGACAACGGCAGTGACTTCTTCCAAGCGCTTGCTTCCCCCGAGACTGGTCAGGGTCGTTCCCGGGGGAGGCACCATCTCCCAGGGCAGCGTTTCCGGTTTCCAACCTAACGTTCTTCCTCGATTTTCTTTCTTTGCTGAAAGAAACCCCATAAACCGCCTCCCTCCTCCCCCCCACCCCTCCACTTGGGTCTGTTGTAGGAAGCAAGGCGATTCAGGACACCTCTGTGATGGTGGTGTTTCCCAGTTCATGGAGCATTTCTTTTTCCTAAGGGAAACCCATGAATTTTCTGGGAAACCTCCTCACAGGGTTATGGAGGAAGCACCCTCAAGAGTAGTGATTAACTATTGAGTATTTTCTGATCTAAAACTGCTCACCTGAAATTGATGCTTTCAGACTTTCTGATGTGGAAATCATTCAGAGTTCCCGAAGTTACTGAGTATTGAAGTGTCACTACAGAAATGGGGTTACGATGGTCACATTTTGGCTCCCTGTGCTCGTAATGCTTATCCCTTGAGCTTATTCTGTTACAAATTCCTATCTTGTGTTTAACTGTTCGGGAAGCTATTGGGTCAACATTCTATAGAATGTGTTCTGAGGAGGAACTTTGACAAGAAAGTTTATTATAAATATTATCTAAAATATATGATTCTCTCTGCACCAGTTGTATCGTTGGTTGGTCTTATCACTGGAAACTGGAACCCTTGATGAACAAAATTAGTATTGAAGTACTAGTTTTATATTGTGAGGTTTAGACGCATTCAAGTACAAGAGGAAATGCTGACTTGGATTGAAGCAGAAACACCTATGATATGGCTTAGGATGGTTTTGGTTTTGGAGGCCTGATGGTACAGTGAAGAAAGTTACCATTATACATATATAAACATCTTAAAACGGCCTTCTCTCTAATATACATTCTTTAACAAGACTTCACTAAATCTATCTTTAAAAAGAAAAAAGAGAGTTTTAAAAATGCATCATCTGCTCTAGGCTTCTGTGAACACGGCACGGGGATGCTGAGGGCACATGAAGCTCCTGCTTGTGAGGTGCCCTTTGTGAGTGGAGCCGGGTGCCACCCACAGTCTGGGTTCTGGTCAGTTCTGCCTCCGTGCATTCACGGGGGCAGCCTGTGTTGGTGTGGGTGGCCTTCCTGCCATGCCCACCTTCCACTGGGGAGCAGCGAGCACACCTAGGACAGGCCACGGGGCTGCAGGCAGCAGAACTCTGTAGAAATACCTCACCCCACGTCAGGGTCCTCCCCCTGAGCCGAGATGTGCCGAGGTCCTGGTGCAGTGTAGACAGTTTCAAACTGCTCTCGATGGCTGAATGCTGACGTTGGAAAAAGAACTAAAACGTGCTCAACTTTTTCATCTTTTCTATTTTATTTTTGTAATTTATACTGTACACAACCCTGGAAGTAACTATTTTGGACACATATTTTTCTAAACCAGGTAATTTGTCATTAGCCTGGAATTTGGACTAGGTTTATTTTATCTGTTGGCTTCGTTTTCAGTCAAAAAGGAAATAACTGCCTCCCCTAGGTTGGGTCTTGACCTCAAGTGCAGGTTTTGGAGAGCAGATAGGGTCTCTCGGAGCAGGAGAACATTGTGGAAACACAGACTGCTCAGTATTGATCAGTCACGGCCGTGGAAACGGCAGCAGGGCTCTGTTCTCCTCTCTGGGACGCAAAACCCAGAGCCTCCGTGCTGGAAGGAGAAAAGCCTTGGCAGGGCCCCCTGCTGACACCCAGAGCCCCTGGTTGAACCGCTGGATGGGATCCCGCTTGAATCCAGATCTGATGCCCTGTATGTAAGTCATGGTAACGATGTAGGAGTTCGTCCGGTTGATTTCTAACGTCCTCCTCTGGTGTTTCATGCTGGCAGCAAATACAGGTGTGACCTTCAGATGGCAGACCTCAACAGTAACATTGCCTAATGTTTTATAATAAAATATATTATGTGTGTTTTGATTGGTGAAAATAATACAGATACATTTTAAAAGAGAAGTGTACAGCATGTCCAGTTCTTTTGTGTTTTTAAGTGATGCTTGGCTATATTTCCACTTCACCATCTCTGATTACAGATTTAACATGAACACAGGCTGATGCTGGAGTGTCGTCATTTCCATCAGTATTAGCAAATGTTTTTAATTGACAGGGAAAACATTTCTTTTACGTCTCTGACTGAAGATGTTCTGCAAATTTCTGATTCTCAGTTTTCAAAAATACGCAAGTATACAAGATGGAATATTCCGAGTATTGGTGTAAGAATTTTTCTCACAAGGCGTGGCCGATGGGTCTTTACTTGTCTTACTTAGAATAGTTAACAGTGTGGTTTTGTGGATGGGATGAGCCACTTTGATTTCACTTCTGGGTTCGAGGCACTTTAAGATGTTCACTACTCAGGGGTGCCTGGGTGGCTCAGTCGGTCGGGCATCCGACTCTTGATCTCAGCTCAGGCTTGATCTCAGTGCAGGCCCCACATTAGGCTCCACACTGGGTGTGGAGCCGACTTAAAAAAGATGTTCACTATGTAAAACCACAGGACTGGAAGGGCCCTCAATGGCTCACTTTCTCTTCTCTGCTTCAAAGGGCTAGAATCATTCCAGATAGATGAGTATCAGTCTGATTTGTAAAGTTCTCTAGAGAAGGAAAACCTTCCTCTTGATACAGGTCTGGGTCCCATTTCTCTATCTTACCCCCTTCAGACATTCAAAGCAGACAGTACTAAAATGCTTTTTATTTATTGACTGAAATGGTGAGTGTAGTGGGGTGGGGGCTTTTTGGTGGGGGGAAGGGTAATCTTTCAAAATAACCTAATATTGTCCTGACGCTCCTATGGTATGAATTTAAGCATAAGGTTCCCTTTGGCAATAAGGCAGTTATTCAGTATTCTGTTTTTAGATCAGGAAAACTGGTAACAAACTGAGAGTGGTCAGTCATGTCTCGTTGAGACCATCTGTGACCAGGATTTAGGAAGGATGTGCCTGTCACGGCCATGGGGAACTTGGCGTTCACTGCGTTCTCAAGGCCCTGGGCCACACACTCCTTCACGGTTTGAAAGAGTCAGGCTTTGGGGGCCCGGGATCTTTGTGAGGAAGGGTGTTTGCTACCCCCCTGTCTCTGCTGGTGCTTTAAAGTTGGAAGGGAAGTTCGGAGTGAGTTCTCAAACACAGCCCGAGGCCTGCACCACACCGAGGCGGAGGACGGACGGAGTGCGGGCTTGCGTCCTCACACTGCCTTGTGTTCCTGCAGGTGCACGACTCACTCTTCTTTAGTCATAAGCCCCGTTGGGGGGGTCTGAGGCAAACAGTGCCCCTCCCCAAAGAAAAATGCCATGAACACAAAATTCTGCCACACTTTTCGAGGAGTCCTGGCCCCTGGTGGATACCGTGTGAAGAGCCCCTTTCTAGAAGCAGCTTATAGATGCTTCATGTGTGCAGAGGGAGGCCAAGCCTGCAGAAGAAGCCTCTTCTGCTCTCACCAGCTGGGACACTTGCACGCGGATGTTGGGGACGTCTTCACTCCAAGCCCAGCACTAGTCAGTAGTCTCAAAAAGAAAAACAGAGGGGTTCAAGTCCAGTGAAAGGGATCATTTCTGTTATTCCTTCCATGTGGAATTTAAGTGCAAGACTGAAAGGAGCTTATAATACAGACTTCATGGAGACACGGACAAAATTAAATCCATCTCTTCATTTTTCAAGAAGTAGTTCATGCTGCGCTTTGAAATAAACTCTGAACTTGCCCCCGAAATCCCTATTTTAAATTGTCGGTTCCCCAGTAATATTTTCTGCCCTTCTCCCAAAACTTCCCTGACTTTCTTAGAATTTCTATAAGCATGCTTTCACCTTAATTGCATTTACTCACTTCGCTTTCATAAAGCCTAACAATGGATGGAGAGACCCTCGTTCAGGGCGGGAATGCACCTGAGGAGGCCGCCCAGCCTCTGCTCAGATGGCTTTAATGAAGGAAAGGCCCTCCCCACAGAGTTCTGTGTAGTTTTGACCATCAGGAAGTTCTTCCTTTCACAGAACAGAAACCCGTTCCCACAACTCCCATGCCTGGGGCCCTAGGCCTTTCCCTTGGGTGAAATAGAGGGAGTCTGATCCATCTTGTGAGACAAGCTTTCCTCTTTTGGTTGAAAAGGTAAGCTGCAAGTCTTCCTTTCTCTACCTTCAACTCAAAGTTCCTCCAACCCTCTCCCACCTGACAAAGCCCCCAGAGCCTCACCATCTTGGTGCACCCTATAAATGCGGGCCTGGAAGTGAACGAATATTCCAGATACAGCCTGAGCAGCGTGCCCAGCAAGCAAGGCCTCCCCAGCCAATTAACACCATCGCGGGGGCCTGAGCTTTCCCAGCCATGTCACCCCCGACGCCTGCAGTCCATCGGAGCCCCTGGATTCTGTGCCGTGGCACTTAATCCTGACTCTATCAGCCTTCACGGGCGTCCCGTCTGCCAGCTTGTGACATCGGTCAGTTTTAGGAGCACACACGTGCCTTCTGAAGATTCATGCAGGTGGTGATCAACAGTCTTGAGTGGCAGAGCCTCAGGACAGACCCCGGCAGTCACAGAGAGGGGCCCATGTGGCCGGCGCATCGTCCCCTCCTCGGCGGGGGTCCCTCCGCTCAACAGCAACGTCGTTCAGCCGGTGCGGCGTGTTATCTCGCCAAGGAGGTCAGGAAGACGCATCCTAATGGATGCCACACAGCAAGCCGAGAGCACTTTGGCAGCATCCTCTGAGCTACTTCCTCGTCACATCTCAGGAAGAGAAAGGAGTCTGTCACCACGCACTGGTGCTCGGAGTTCATGCTTCGGTTTTCTCTCGGGAGGAGCAGGTGGGGAGCGCGCCAACTTCCCCTTCTAGATCTACATTCTTGATAGCCTGTGGCCACTTAGAAGACATGGCCAGTTGTTGTCCATGTCCGCAGGTCAGGGAGTGGGTAGGGGAGCAGGGTGGAAACGCGCGATGGCCTTACTCTGTTTCCGTGTCCGGCCCCGACCCCAAGCCGCTCTCCTGTGGCCCGTCCACAACAGAGCCTGGCTCGAGCCGCGTACAACCTCAAAGGTTTATCGTCTTGAGTAGGCCTGCCTTTTCGGAGAAGCTTCCTTTGTTTTCAAGGAATAACCATCATGCTGCCCTCAAGAAGCTGTAAGAGATAAATATTGGATCAGCAATACTCACCTGTCTGTATTTATTCTCACGTCCCCTCAAAGGTGGCCCCTCACCGGACGTGCTGGACGGCCCACGCGGCCTGCCTCCCTGCCCTGCCGGACCGTCGCTCCCACAGGAGCTCGATGCTGTGTGGCCTCTCTCCGTCCCTCTGTTCGGTTCCCCGCCTCCGCTCATAACCCAACATCACCCTCCAATCGCTCCCCTTTGAAACAGAAATCAAGAGCAGTCTATACTCACTTTCTCCACCTCCTCGCCTCCCATCTGCTCCCTATTTTTAAAAATGCAAAAATATATATATTCTCTCTCTCTCTCTCCCTATATATATATATATATATATATATATATGTTAGAAAGTATAATCAAGGATGAGAAACTAAACATACCGTATTCCCCCCTTCAGAGATGACCACTGTTAATAACCTTATTGTGTATCTTTCAGATGCTTTTATATGGACATATGCACATCTAGGTGGTTTTTTTGCTTGTTTGGGGTTTTGTTTGTTTGTTTGTTTTTGCCCAAATGGGGT